CAAGACAAAGTTTTATTTTTCCATGATCTTTCATCAAAAATTCTTTTTTAAGATATTGTATTGCCTTTTGGAGCTCACCTGAAGTTCTAACAAGATTTATGTCATCAATATAAACAACAAGCATAACAAATTCTGATTCCTTTTTCTTTATAAAAATATATGGACAAATAACATCATTTATGTAATCCTCTTTCAGCAAATATTCATTAAGGCAATTATGCCACATGTGCCCAGATTAATTTAAACCGTACAAAGATCTTTGTAATTTGATTGAATACATTTTTCGAGATTTTGAATTTGGTTCAGGTATTTTAAATCTTTCAGGGAATTTCATATAAATTTCATTATCAAGTGAACCGTACTATAAGTTGTAACTACACCCATTAGATGTATTTCAAACTTTTCATGTAGTGTTAAGCTGATGAGCTATCGAAATGTTATGGCATCCATAACTGGTGAATATGTTTCATCAAAATCGACTCCAGGTCATCATTTTTATCATTCTTTTTTTGCACAAAACCCCATTTATGATCAAATGGTTTTATATTACCAGCAAGTGTTTGGACTATTGGCCCCAAAACCTCTCTTTTAGAAAGTGCATTCAATTCTGATTGAATTACCTCTTGCCATTTTGGCCAATCAGATCTTTGTCGACATTCTTCAACAGATCGAGGTTCAAGATCTTCATTATCGTGCATAATGTTAAGTGCAACATTATATGCAAAAATATTATCCACCACTATTTCAGATCGATTTAAATTAATCCCATCACAAGTAGAACTTATTGAAAGCTTCTCTGGGTTCATTGATTTCTTCAAGAATCTCAGAACTAATCATATCTTGTGTCTCTTCAGGAGACCCTTCATAGAATCGTTTTGATCATTTGTCGATTTTCTTTTTCGAGGATTTCTATCCTTAGAACCCAAAGACCTACCACGCTTCAGGCGTGCTTTAGGTTCACTAACTCTCATGCTAGTAGATGGTCTTGTTGGGACATCATTTCGGATAGGCACATTCTCTGCAGGGATATGTGACTTAGTTATTCTTTTCAAAAATCAGTAAACGCGTCTGGCATTTGATTTGCTATATTTTATAAATTGATGATCTTCTGGACCTCCTGATTACATATAGGGGTGCGTGGATCAAAATGAGATAATGATGAAACTTTTCACACAATTTCTCTTTTGATTTCCTTTTTCTTCCCCCCCC